GCGAAAAGAAATCAAGGGGCGTTTAAGCTTCAAGTTTTGTATAATGAAAAGTGCTTAGAAGCGTTAAACAGCACCGTTAATGGGTAAATAAAAATGAAAAGCAATAGAAAAATGAACGTGCGACATCTCCTTAAACAAAATCTGTCGAGTTCCAGAAGACAAATTCAAACAGGGTTGGAATGAAAGATATTTTTCGTCTAAGAATTGTTTTAGCATGAAACGATTTCACAATTTTGGTTGGGATTCCCTGGACTTTTGTATATATATATATATAGAGACAGACAGACAGACAGACAGACAGACAGAGACATTCATTTCTAACTATCCCCCCCTATTTAAATATATCTCCACCACTCATATCTATTTCAACGTTTACTTTTATTCATTTTCTTTACCTATCGATGTTATTACCTATCTATCTATCTATCTATCTATCTATCTATCTATCTATCTATCTATGTCTTTCTTCCTCACTGTTTATATCTGATTGTTGGGCAAAAGACAAGTTTATTTTCACAACAATTCGATATTAAAACAATTCATCACTTTAACACATTTCATTACATTGTGGGGACATTTTTTTTTCTCTTCAAATTCCAAAAAACAAAATGTTAGACATTGGCTATTTTTCTTAACGTCCAAATTTTTATACTAAATAAAATGTCTCAGATTTCTGTTTTCAATTCCTAACTATTCGATTGGACCAAATGAAATATCGGTTTTGAATATAGCAAATTAAAAACATCACCTTTTAAAGAAAAAATACAATTTATTCCAATTAGTGACGATTATAATATATACATTCCTGTGCTCATTTCATGACATTGTGTACAAAAGAGAAAATTATGGTCGCGAATGAATATAATCTATACCTCAGGGCGACGCCATTTGCGATTTTCTGTCACGTGAAATTCGTTTTTACGTATTTTTCATTGACGAGAAAAAAAAGCATTTTTTTTTTCTTTTTTGCAATTAAAGTCATCCATGTATATTCTTAGGTGATTGCCGCTTTTGTGGAACTTAATTTTTATTCTTGTTTCCGGTGTAAAATCTCTGATTCCATAATTGTATCCTTCGTTTATAAGCAGTGACTTCTCTATATGCCAAATTGATGTTTTTCTCGTGTTTCAAATCTTACGAAAAAAGAATGTTCGTGACTACTGTAGAGATGGTACCAATTATCACAACATAAAAATAAAATTAGTTATAGCCAATGATGCAATATAATATATATTGAATTATATCTATTTTGATTGCACTAAATCAAGAATCATTTTCAGTTCGAGACTTTACGTCGTGCAACCTAATCTGATTCATTTCAAAATTAGTAAAAAAAACTTTTTTAAACTTCGCCCTTCCATATAAAAACTCAATCATCTTTTCTTTCCGGGTTGTCTTATCGTGATACATGAATTTTTGCTAATTCTTTTATTTCTTTTATCTCATTCTACATTCAACATCATTGCCGAAACTCGCCAATTCATAACGCGTGAGAAAGTTTTTTTTTTCTTATGATTTTTTTTATCATATTCTTCTGATTAAATGATTTTTTTTTAATTTAGTTTGTCTAAATTAATTCTGAGTTTTTATTTTGCGTTAAAAAAGTAAGAAAATGGTGGAAAAGGAAAAAATGATAGGGAAAACAGTAAAACCCGGCAAGCGTTATACTCGATGTCAGCGATAAGGAGTCTGAAGTCTGTCAAAATAGCGGATTATCCTCTCTTTCTATCCGAGATAAAGAAACAGTTTGCATGACGTCCGCTGAACATCTGAGACTAAGCATAATCCGTAGTTTGTCGGTTAAAATCTTATCCAGAAAATAATAGAAAAGAACCAAAAATGAGAGGGACATGAGAATCTTAAGCAATGAGATCGCCAAGGAACGGAAAATCTCGATAAACATGTATTATAAAACAGTCATAATATACAAACTTCTAGAGATGAAGTGTTATGATTTATCTTTAAATTTTAACTACTATCTTGTACATCTTAATATCTATTGCTTTTTATCGCTACTCCTAAATTTGTCATTCTATGTTCATAGATAAGCAACACAGATTAAAAATCAAGAATTCATATTCAGCGAGTGTTCAACTGGCATCCATAATAATTGAGAGTTTGTTTTTCCTGAGAATACTTTACTGGTTAGGCCACGCAGGCTAACCCATAGAAGTCATTCAGATTAAGACAAATTGCTTCATCTTTCATTTCCCTGAACGCCGTGTTCTGCTATTTTTGAGCAAACATGGCTCGCCACAACTTCCGGTCATTTGTAGTTTTTCGTAAAATTTGACTTTTAACCATCGCATCCAGTCCCTGTTCGGCCGTGCCGGTAGTTTTCTCGCGTCTTTCCTTTGTCCGTCTTGCCTTCCATATGTCATGTGAGTGACAAATTTTGAAAGACCTGTCTTCTCATTATATATTCCATGAATCTCAAGTTTCTCTCTCAGATTCTAAACATAAGCGTCAATTTCGTTTCCATTTTCTTTAATACTTCCTC